GTGGAAATGTTACAGCATGCAGAAAGAGGGCTGAGATGTACAGCGTAATTGTTTTCTACACTTCATTTGTATTTAATATCACTGATCACAAATTCACATGCCAGTTTTATAACCACACATAGCGGATGTGAGCTGATCCGAGCCTTCAAACACGATCAGCGGTGCTGTGAGGATATCAGCCAGCGGTTCACCAACAGCAGTCGACAGAAACATCTGATATTAGTGAGTTTTGATAAATCAAAAATAGCATGTGGGAAATCACATTCAGCATATGGCCACGTTTTACCAGTGCTGAACATATCCAATCCAGTCCTGCTCCTCTGGAAGTTTCTAGTGATCTAGTGAAGAGCTTGACTAGCTGGTTGAAGTGCGTTTACTTGGGACTAGAGCTCAACTCTGCAGAAGCAGAATCGGACACCTCTGCCATATTGGACTGAGATAATCTGAGTGAATAAAATGAATTCAAGTTCACAGCATTTACTTTTCATGTTTCATCTCAGTTAGGCTTTGGGACGAGCTGTGATCTGATCTAGACTGCTAAAACCATAATAAAGCAATATCACTCGAGCAAGAGTGAGTTATACGGCCATAATGAACTCTTGCTTGCGTGATATTGTCTTTATATGAAAGTTTAACAAACAAGTATATAAATAAGTACAGAAAAGTCCCTTGTTTGTTCAACGCGTTCAGGATCTGGTGTGTCAAGACGTCTGTTTCTAACTCGAAAACACCACATCAGATCTACAGCGTGGACCGTTATATTGTTGGAGGTAAAAACATACAACAGTTTGTGTTTGCTCTGCCAATGAAGAGAGTTCTAGACGATTGGTTGACGGAGTCACTGTAAAATCCTCAGCAGTAATGCACAGGCTGACGGTCTGGAACAAACACGAGAGCAGTCTCAGAGCGAAAGTGATCCAAAAGCATAAAGAGAGTCGTCTGCTCTCCGATCACTCCCGCAGCACACCGACCGATGCATCCCCAACAAGCCTAAACACACGATCAACAGTGGTGGACGTTGCATTGCTATTGATGTTCATGGCTTTGCGAATCTACATCGGCATCCAACGTGTTTGTGTTTAGATGCTATTTCAGAAATGGCAATCAAAAGTTCTTACTTCTAGACCAGCAATGTTTTGGTGCTACTTACGAAC